ATTTATTAAGATATAAATCCATTTTCACTTATATCAAAATTCACCAAAAATAGGGTACTTGGTCTTCTTCACTAATTTCAATATATAGGTAGAATTTCACCATAACAAGCTTGGAAACATGCTACACAACACTCTATTCTTCCTTAATCATCATAATTTCTAACATTTGAGATCATATAGGAATTAGGGTTCATGACCCCTTTCCAGTTTCACCATCAAATAATGAGATTACTCAAGGAAAGAAAAAGCTTACTCATAATCCAAGATGCAGAAGTTTAGTTCTTGGTCTCCCTTTTGATTCCTCTTGATAATCTTCAAGTTTGAGCTTAAAATTGCTAAAAAAATCTCCCTCTCTGCCCTCTAGAACATATGTTTGAAGTATGGGGTAAAAAGATCGAATTTAGCTCTTAAAACCCATATTATTTTTTTATTTCTGTTGCGTGGACGCGTCGTGCACTTCACATGGACGTGCCGCGATTTCGCATCACTTTTGTCTTAACTTCGGACGGTCATAATTTCTTCATACAAAATCGGATTTTAATGATTTTTATACCAATGTGTTCGTATCGAGTTAACTACAACTTTCTTTTACATTAATTTTGCTAGAAAGCATTATATTGTTGCTTATAATCTCTTAAACGAAAGGATATACATTATTCATTCTTAAAACTACACACCAACACATATTTTACATTCACTATTTCGCATACTCTGACAAAACACATGTCTTAACCGTCTATTTAACTCATAAAGATATTACGTTTCCACTAATAACAATATGTTCGGATGCGAACTCAATCCCACATCGGTAAAAAGAGAAACTATATGCTAGCATATAAGGCAATGGATAATCCCTTCTATCACCGGTTGGTTTTAGAAAATGAAACCTCATTGCTTTTCTATGTTGAACATGGTTAGGCTAATAGCGATCCTAACATATAAGAAGCGTGTGATACAGTACCTTTGGCTTTAATAGTTGTACATCAACATATGGAGTTTGAATGTCGTTCAAATTTAAGCCACAAATTTTGCCTAACTTTGCCTGCAATGGGACGATGTTTGCAGCCAACATTATATGCCAAATAAGAGGCTCTTCCATACCGTATAGCCATAAAGTTTTTTTAGAAGATAAATGGGTTGATGCCACAAAAGCCATTATATATACAACCTTGTTCTGTTTTGGCCACAACTCTATTTTTTGTTCCTCATTTGCCATTATATTTTAGAAAACGTTTCATCTTCGGTCCCTCGGCCGGTCACCAACAGGTCATGATGACGTGTCGGTTTCATATTTTTCTCAGTTTGCATTTAGCCCCAACATTTATGTATGAGTTTGCATTTAGCCCTAAATTTTGTTTGTTCCCCATTTGCCATTATTTTTTAGAAAAATTTTCATTTTAGCCATTGGCCAGTTACGAATAGGTATTTTAAAATGTAATAAATTACAATAAAAAAAGAAAATGAAGGCAAGAGTCGAAACTGCAACTTCTCTTTGAGGGTGGGACGTGATAGCCAGTAAGTCAATGATTTTTTTTTGTATTATTAGTGTTTGTTGTATTATATATATATATATATATATATATATATATATATATATATATATATATATATATATATGTGTGTGTGTGTGTATGTATGTATTTTAAAATGAAGGAAAAAGATCTAGTGTGAGTCTCGAGTCTGAGACATTGAATAAACGATGTGCCATGTTAATCATTGAGCCAGTAAAAATTGTCACTTTTTTGGTTTCTCAATAAATATGTCATTAGAAATATTTGGTTTCTCAACAAATATGTCATTAGAAATAACCAATTGTTCCTTAGATGAGTTAGGAATGAATTAACAATTTTGATTTGCTTAAAGATTAATATGTCATATTATCTATTAGATATCACGCACTCAAGACTTACACTAGATCTTTTTCCTGCATTTTAAAATACATGTGTACATTAAATACAACAAACACTAATAATAATAAACAAAAGTCATTGACTTAGCAGCTAACACGCTCCGCCTTTCAAGGAGAAGTGACAGTTTCGACTCTTGCCTTCGTCTTTTCCTTTTTTTCATTTTAAGTTATTACGTTTTAAAATATCTATTCGTGATTGACCAATAGCTAAAATGAAATTTTTTCTAAAAAATAATGGCAAATGGAGAACAAAAAAATGTTGATGCTAAATGCAACCTCACACGTAAATTGTGAGGCTAAATGCAAAATGAGAAAAATACCAAACCGACATGTTATCGTTACCAGTGAATTGGCCAGGGGCCCGAAAATAAAATGTTTTCTAAAATATAATGGTAAATGAGAAATAAAAAATAAAATTAGAAATTAAAATAGAACGAAATTATTTAAATAATGACTTTTACAGCATAAATCTAACATAAATGGATGAATTTTGAATCACCCAACATCTTGGAAAACCTAGTACCATAGAAGCTGTGAGTTTGGTTATGACCCTGGTCAGAGAGGCTGGGTTAATAATTATAAATTATTAATTAACATGACTGTTATCTACATTCTCTATCGTTTTCACTGTTAAGTCAACTATAGGTCTGAGCAGCCAAACAAGAAAAGTCCCAAATCGTATAAATGTCACCGGTGGCCACCACTCCACCCTTCATTCTCTCTGAGTTGTGTATACTTCGGCTTTATGAGCAAAACCTGATTTGTCGACTCATAAACAGGTTGTGGTTTTAGCTGCAAGCAACTCCAATCATGGCAGTAAGTTCATTTCTTCACCTAATTTATTCCATCTCTACTCTGTTGAAGAATATATGAACTCCTTTCACAACGATCACGCAGTGCTTTTACGGTGTTTGCTGTACTCTAGGTTTTATTTTCCCCAAACTCGACATGCTTCTTGTATTTAGCTCCGCTGATGATTTTTTCCCCCTTTTTTGCTTCGTATCTATGTTTTCAGTAATTGAATGATTGCACATTTTGTGATTAATGAGGATTCGCTACATTGAAGCTAGATCATGTTCATAGTCTTTCATTCTTTAATGTCTCTTAGGGTTTTGAATATACATTTACTTTGTGAGAAGAGATCTTCGAGCTGTTGATGGTTCAACGAGATCTGATATGATGATTCTCATGGTTTATTACCTCTAGATTTGTTCCAACTTTGGGATGAAGTTTCTAGGATTTAGAATTGATATAATAGTTTACTTGGATTTCGATGACAACCGATGGTGCTATGGGAGTGTTTGGTTATGCAATTTAGATAGATTATTATGATTTTAAGAGGTAATAATTAATTTTGATTTTTTAGGTAAAGGAAATACGATTATGATTTCTCATTATTTGGATCCAAATACAATAAAATTGTTCAATTCCATCAATTTCTGCCAACCAAATGCGATTCCTTCATATTCTAATTCCTTTCAAAAACATTCTACAAACCAAACGCAATTCCTTCAAACATGGATTTTAAGGAAGTCTCCCGAAAGCCAATTCCATTGGTTTGGCAACCAAACACGCTGTGGAATGGAATTCAAGATTCCAATTCCTGACCCTTCTAATGTAGTAAACCTTGTTTTCAGGCCCATGAAGAAGCTGAAGTCAAGAACAGCGACTCCACAAAGTCAACAACACCATCAAGACCAAAATCATTTGAATCCCCAGCACACCCTAAAAGGGTTGGGACCAGAAGTAACACAGCTTCACCAATGTGGGAAAGAAATGGTACTGGTGCTCCTCCTGGTGGGTCCCGCTTGAGACAAGTCACACTTGGTGATGATTCTGTAAGTCTTATAAACTAGCTTATATTTTGAGCTTATTGCAATGGGAAATCTCCATTAAAGTCTCATATTATTTTACCATAATTTACGAACAAGTCCAAACTAAAATTTGTTTACAAAAAAATATGAATTACCAGTAAAAGTGACGATTTGGCCAAATTTTTTTGACCTAGACACATTAATGTCCTATTATTTTACCATAATTTACGAATAACTTCCAAAATAAATTTTGTTTACGAAAAAACATGAATTACCGGTAAAAGTTATGATTTGACCATTTTCTCCCTATAACACACATTTTACCGGTTTCATTGTTAACATGGACGCCTAGTCATTAAAGAGTCAAATCGTCACTTTTACCGGTAATTCATGTTTTTTTGTAAACAAATTTTAGTTTGAAACTTATTCGTAAATTATGGTAAAATAATGGGACTTTGCTGGAGATGTTCTTATTGCAATATAGTGTTTGGTGAGACCATTGACAACAACTTATAAGTTAGCTTTCTAAAAAGCTATTTGAGATGGCTTAATAAACTCATGGGGCTTTTTCCAAATATACCTTTATGTGATCAGTTTCACAAGTTTTCCAAATATACATTTTTATAACATTTTATATTTGTCATCTAGCTTAGCAAGCTTGTTTTTACCAAACATTATTACTTTATCAGCTACCAGTTTTTTATCAAAAGCTAGTTTTCTGGAATTTGGAATATGATTATAGTGATAAAAAAATTTATGATGATTTGGCAGCCGGATGATGGCATGGCTGTGCCGGTATTTGGTGACTGGGATGACAGTGATCCGGCTTCAGCAGAAGGTTACTCTCACATATTTAACAAAGTACGAGAAGAGAAGCATGGTGGTGGTGGTGGTGGAAAGTCACCAAGGCTAAACACCGATGATTCTTCTTATTATGGCCAAAGACCCGAGGCTAAAAAGGTAAATGAATGCCCAATAGCTTTTGGAAAATAAATTATAGTTTTGATATATTTTTCCTTTTTAAATAAAATTAAAAAAAATAATAATAAACCCACCAATAGTTAGTTGCTTTTCTTCTTTTTGTGTTATGATGTTTTATGAATTAGTCACAGGTTTCCATGCGTGACAACTATCAACTCCTTAAGAGTTGAGACTTATTAAACGCTTTGACTTTCTTTCTCAGGGGTGTGGCTGCTTTCCGTGGGGCAAAAAGTAATTTGTTTCTGCTTTTTTTAGTCAAGTTGTGAGTTGTAGTATTGTGTGTTGGTAGACTGCATTATTTCTTGTTCGTAAATCCTCTAAGTTGTTTGCACATCATGTTTCATTTGTATGCTCCATTTCCATTTGTTGAATGAGAAAACAGAAACACAAAGCAACAAAGACTGGTCAATATATTATCTATATATGTACATCTTTTTCTTAATTTATATCCAACTAATGTATGTCCAAACACAATACAAGATTATCATATTCTGTCATGTCATGTCATGTCATCATGTGTTTGGCTTTGGAGAAACTAAAAATGAAACGTTAGCAAAATTCCCACAAGAACAAAAGCAATGTAACATGTAAAATCAACAAACCGATACCTTTATTAGATGCTGTTTTTATTCTTCTGTATATGTACAATACCATACCCAAACACCTCATCAAAACAACCATTCACACATACATGTAAGGGGAAAATTCATCCTTTAACATTTCTTCTTTCTTGGTCTCATATATCTGATAATCCACCATACCATTGAGTTGTTGATGATGATGATGATGATGGCTTGCATTTTGCCTTAACAGCTAAGGTTTTTACAGTCCTTGGGCATGGGTCTCCAAATACAGAATTAGACACTTCTATTTTGCAACTATTTCTTCCCTCACAAACCTGTCACAATTCATTATAACAACATATTAATCAAGAAACAGCAACAGTTGCACTTTCATTTTATATGACTAATTTTAACTAGGAACTATAATCGACCTATTTTTTTTTTTTCTATACTTACCTCGGACAAGATGGCTGAAGAATTTGTTGCATGGCAGTTGCCTGTGGAGAAAGCTTGGCAGCTACCTTGAGGGGTTCCATAGCTAGCAAACTCTATGGATTCAATTTTATAACCATCCTCACACTGCAATTGCACTACTGGTTTCATATTGCTGTAATTTGGTTGGGCCCACATGTCAACAGGTGGATAGTAATCCTCAGACATGTGACCACATACAGTTTTAACAGAAACTGTCTTCACAGAAATTTCAAACGGGTTCCCTCCTGTCTCCTCAAATAGAACAAGTAGATTGTCTGACGGCTGTAACCATGATCTTGGAACATGGTACCTGTTTCATTAAAATTGTCAAAACCACAACCCTACTTTTTCCATATTTCTACATGACATGACCGATGTCAATAGGAGAAAAAAGTGGGATAAAGACTCGTGTTTGTGAAAAAAGACATGAATGCCCTTCTGAAAGAAGAATACCAAATTTGAGTGGGGTTGCCACAATTTGTGTTGCATTTTTCAGATCCATAAGCTCCACGATAATCACAAGTTTCTTGACATCCGTCTTTAGGGGCAACAAGAGTCCAGTATCTTCCTATATGGTGTCCATTGACCCAAGCTTCACCTTTACCCATGCTGCTAAAATCAACAACCACTGGATCTTTCCCTCCAGGAGAATCAAAATTTGTCTGCCATTAATCAAAAAATGGAAGAGAAATGTATGAATATGAGTAAATGTCAATTTTACCCTTGTGTGTTTATAAGTGATGTTGAATAGCAAATGACTGTTTATTTACGAATTGTTATATTTGTCCCATGAAGTCAAAAAGAAACAGACACTTAACAGACTTAATGAGGATAGGACTTAATACGATAAGCTATTATATATATATATATATATATATATATATATATATATATATGGATGTTTCTTTTTGACGTAATGCAGTAAATATTTTTTAAACATCACTTATCCAGAAAGCATCTTATCCAAACAACACTTAATGGGGAAAAATAAATAAATAAATTGGATTTTTACCTTGTACCATGAAAGGGACGATGGAACTTCTTCATCTGTTAAATTAGTCCAACCTGAACTTTTGTTATCTTCAGTAGCATATAATTTCAGGAATTCACCTTTAAGCCCAACCTATGGTCAATATGGTAGCAATTAGATTTGTGAAGCTGAAGCATAATCTTCCACCACTAAATGCACAAGTCTTAAATTTTGAATGACTGCTTTCCTTTACTATATTATAGTGTGCTACAAAGTAAACTAGATATAAAACACTCCACGTGAAAGTTGAAAATATTCATGATATATACTTTAGTACACAAAAAATTTCAATTATAGCATTGTACTTTGAAAACCATGCATATACAATGCAATTTTCACAGCTACAATAAGAAATGGATGAAAGTACAATGATATAACCGGGTAGATCATTCAAAGTATAGTTCCTTCATAAGAAATAACTTATAATACACACATATCAAAGTGCATTGCTACTTTGCTAATCATTTTGATCAGTTAAGGTATCTAATACCAAACAATAAAGAAAACTTGCTCAAAAGTTCTTTAAACTTTGAATATAGAATACCAAAACTTGCTCAAAAGTTGTTTTAACTTTGAATATGCAGTGGGAATGTTGAGAAACAGCATTACATTAGATGAGAAAAGTACCTACCTGATATGTCCATGGTGAATGTGTGATATTTACATCCCCATTCTTGAATCCAGTTAGAGTAATCTGACCCTGAAACCCTGCTCCATCTTTCTCAAGAAAGGCGCCATAGTTCTGAATCATTAAATTTGCATGAATCAAATCCATGGAATTACATATTAATATAAACTCCATTATATCCAAACTTCATCAAACATATTTTATGATTTTTTTTATTACCTGCAGGCCCACTGTCTCTGATAATAACACCAAGTCATTGTATCCTTGCTTAAACTGAAGTTTCTGAACAACTTTCACCCAATCACCCCTTGCACTACCTTTATTTTCAATAAACACATAACACATCAGGTCTATGTTTTTATAACTTGGCAATGATCTCTAGATAATCATATAATCATAAAGCATAAGTAGGTTACTCAAACAGTAGATACTGATTATATAATGATATAATAACAATTAGTTAGTTACCTATAAGTTTGCCATTAATGAAGATGCGAACCAAATCACGCATGCTATCAATGACAAGTGATGGATTACTTGCATTTTCCTCCCAGTGTAAAACATCCTCATCAGAAACATATATTCTGCATGTAATTGAAGCAAATAGGCATTCTGTTGTTAAAATATCAAAGTATATTGTTACTTCTTGTATCTAACCCTTTTCTTAAATGGTACATAGCAAGCTTACAAAAAGGAAACTCTAAAAAAGATGAGAGATTGAGAATCGGTTTATAGGGTTAAGAAATTAACCCTGATAATATTAAAAAGTACTTATTGTTGTGATGGTGTGTACCTTGTGATATACCATAAATAATCTGATCCATCTTTTGTCACATTTAAATGCTCCAAGACACCTTTAAAAGTGAAATTATCATCACCCCAAGCACCAATTGGCTCCTTAAATGTCATCCATGATTCTGAGACCAAAGGTACTTCCTTCTGAATCATTAAGTGATTGGGTGTAGAGCTTTTTGCAGATAATGTCGGCTCAAAATCCACCACTTTAATGGATGTTTGTGCCCCAACCTGCTCCAAATTTAAAAAAAAATATATCATGAAGGGGATAATAATCACATAATAACCGATACCATATAACTGTAAGATAATCAAGACACGTTTTCCAATAATATCAGAAAAAACGAATAAAAGGGTGCATGTATAATTACAAAAGTCAAACCTTTGCAGTGTTGAAGACAACATTCTTGCAGTCTGGTAGTACGCTCACAGACCAGGGTGGTAAAGTGTAATATTGACCAAGGAATTGAACAGTGATTGTTTTATGTTCATCAATATTTGCAAGAAATGCTGAGCAGATACTTTTATTACCTTGGTACACATGTGCCTGAACCAAAAAGTAAAAAATTGTCTCAATTTATAGTCACAAGTTTGATAAAAAAAATTAGTTTTATGGCGTATATTGGCATAAAACTATCTAGAATCTAGTCATTCCAATCACCAAAGCTCTACATGGGAAATTAGTTTTAATTTTAACTTCATGTTTTATTTATAGCAACTTAATTCAATTCAGATTTAACATTATTTATGTAAGATGCATTTCAATCAATATACAAGGCATCAATGGGTTCTTAATGGTGATGAGGTGTCTAATAACAGGCTAGTAGAACCAATAGATGCAGGATAATGTAAAAAGCTGAGGACTTTAACAAACCTCCTGCATAGATCCTAATTTTATATACTGAGCTGACTCAGCAGCCACTAGTGCAGGCTCACAAAGCTTTATAGCAGCATGCAGGTCCTTTAGATGCCCCCATTTAGGCTGACTTAGAAGACCTAAAAAAAATTTAAAAGCTCAGTTTCTTTGTCAGCTGAAAACGCCTTCATCAACACCCACAATGAGCTGTAAAAAGATATATATATTTTTATACATATTTTGATCTTACCATATTCATCAAGTGGAGCATCATAATCATAACTAGTGATTATATTTGGGCCTCCAGAAGTCCGTCCAAAATTCGTCCCTCCAAAAAACTGAGCCATAAGGAAGAGAAGATATCAGTGATCACAAAGTAACTACAAATGGTAAAACTGAAACTTATAAGGGATATGTATGGATTGTAATTATTATATTTTGTAGGATGAAAGTTAAGGGGTAGCTTACACTACCATATAATAATTCTGAAAGCTTCCACCTCGTTGATAAAATCGAGCAACTGCAAATGCAAGATCCTCCACAGGTCTATGAGGCAGTCTACCTCCCCAATTTGTATACCTTGAAAAAAGAAAATAAAAATTAAAAAGAAAATTTCCAGAGGTTTGAAAAAGTAAACAAGAATAATATGTTGGATTTGCTTTTGCATACCATCCATCCCAATTTTCTGTCCAGAAAATTGGTTTCTTGTTGGAGTTGGGCTTAAAACCATCACAATAGTATCCATTGCAGGCATCTATCTGTGGGAAGAAGGGGAGACATTTAAAAAAAGAAAAAAGATAAATAATTTAAATTAGAATAGAAAAAATAAAAAAGGGTTGGAAGGTACAATGTATTCTGGAGCATCAGTTTGCTTGCACATAACCCATGGGACACCAGCTCCAAGTCCAACAGCCATTTCTGCAGCCCATTTTACATAGTCCTTTCCTTTTTGGCCAAATGAACCTTCAATATTTCCATACTCATTTTCAATCTGATAGAAATCCAATCAAGAATATATCCAATAACATAATTAATTACCAAAAAAGAGAGCAAGAATTTAGTTGAAGTACTGATGAAGATAAAGTCAAAGAGAACCTGCAGCATAATGATTGGGCCACCTTGCCAAGAGAAGAGAGATTCCTCTCTCATCATATCTACTATTTTTTTAACAAAACGTTGCATCTCTTCCTGCAATATGATGGTGTATGACCATTATCTGTCATAACCTTGAACACAAAGGAATAACAATGACTCATGCAAGTGCATGTCATTATTTTAAAGAACATAAACAAACAGTAAGAGAGTTTAGATGTAGTTTCTTCTTGAGATGAATAAAGGAGAAGATGATTGTTCCTTGTTTATATCAGTAACTTAAACTGACTCATTTAACTAAGTGGTGATGATTGAGAATGCCATAAAACCCAATGCCATATAATAACCAAGGGGTTAGTATACCAACCTAAATTCAGGATTTATTTTAATAAATATTACTTTGAGTGATAAATAATACTGGGAAATTGTTTATAAGGTTTATGGATTATTGATGTGGAAATAAGAAGCAATATACATACAATGTACTGGTGTATATGGAAGTTGAAAGGCTAATTGTGTCACATTGCTAGTGTGGTGTGGCAAAAAGGTGAAAGGAGTTAAAGTTTATAAAAAATTCTGATGAAAAGGGGATTTAGAATGATTTATTCTTCTCTTTATTATATAAACCTGAAGAATACTTGTCTGAGCTCTCAAAGTGAAATTCGGGGTTGAGATTCAAGGCTTGATGTCTAAAGCAAAGTCATAGAGCTTGCAAAGGGTGAAACTTTCATGAAAGCCATTTCAGTTTCATCTGCTAACTCTGTTATTTGAGGTTATGTATTCGTTTTACCCATTTAATGTTAAAATCTTGCATTCATGTATTGCAGAAAGGTATTAAATGCATGGAGATGGTGTATTCTTAAAAAAGATTTAGCTCGTTTAATGCATAAAAGGGAGCATTTAAGAATGGTATTGAACCGATGCATTAATGGTAGAAATTCTTGACCAAGATTTCAATTTAGATTGTTTGGAAGAGTTAAAAGATGGGTAAACACTTGTTATATGTGATAGAATACATATACTATTATTTTGTCCAGTTGTACCTTGAATGGTGCATTGTCAGTTCGGAATACAATTCCAGGAATATCACGAAGCCACACAGGGAAGCCCCTGCAAAATCATCAGTTGATATAATTAGATGATATAAAAATCTCTTTTTGAGCTTACTAATGCTGATTGTCTGATTTGTACATTTGATCATGAAATAAACTGAAAGTAAACTAAATCTAACTAAATAGGGAAAGTAGAGACCCGAAGTTCCACTCTGCACAAACATATGGACCTATTCGGAGATGAAGATAGAGACCACTAGATCCCACCAACTTCACAAACTTCACCAGGTCATATCTTCCCTCAAAGTTATACTAAAGAGAGCAAAAGAAAGAAGTAAATAAGACACTTCATGAAGTCAATTAGCAAATATAGCTAAATGTAAACCAAGAAAGAAGTCTGCAAGTGTTAACAAGATATAGTGTAGTAACAAAGCACACCTGTCCTTTAACTGGCTCATGGCCACCCCAGAATACATAAGTTTGAACGGCATTAGCACCACCTTCTTTACTCTTGGCTATCAGATCAGGCCACATCTGAAATCAGGTAAAAGTAAAGAGACCGCATTATATATAGCCAAATAAATGGAAAGGCCATCTTGTGAAGGTAAGAGTTGGAGGGGAAATAATCACCATCGCCCATTATAAGCTATGTTGAACTTCATACATGTCAGGAAAAGAGGTAGATGAAAGATGAGAATGAAAATGAAACACAGAAACAGAAATCACATATTATTTGATGAAACACAGAAACAGAAAGCACAACCCAAAATTCAATTTTTGCCAAAATAACCTAATAAAACCCTTGAAAATCTCATATCTCCTGCTTTTGCGTCTGAATCATGTTAAATTGCTAACAAAATCACATGCTGTATATGTAGACTTATACACCACAGAGGATTGTTATCATAGAATTGACTGAAGTCACTGAACAAGGAGAAGTAAAATACCTCAGGTGTGGCTCGAGGATAGTGAATTCCTGCGGAAATAAGCATTCTCCGTTGTCCATCAATAATAAGTGCTCTGTGATCGTAGCTAACATTGAACGGCTTAAAATATTCGCCGGCGACCATGCCAAACGTTACAGTCAACGCCATAGCCAGCCATTGGAGCAAAATCAGAGTTGTGTTCTGCATGTTAGTAGCTCTACAGAGGAATTGACAGAGAATCTGCTACACTGTTAGATGATCACTTTTAGTTGTAGCTTATAAATTGTTGCACATATGCAATTGCTTGCCCATCAGTTCGAACGTCACTAACAAAGTGATCTGAACTTGCAAGGAAAGAGAAAAAATTGGCTGACGCTGCTCTTATCGGCAATCTTTAGAGAATTTCCAGTTACGCCCCCGATCGTTTATTATAATCACTAAATTAGCAACCCAACCCTCCAACTTTTCAATAAAAAACTAATTTCTCTCTCCCACATAAACAACCCAACTCAATCCAATTTTTTACACCTGTTAGTAATCCAACCCAAACTCATTTTTCCTTAAAAAATATAATTTATTTTACTAGAAACTATTAGAAATATTAAAATTAAATATTTTATTTTGAAACAAATAAATTATTTATTTTAAGCATGAAATTATAAAATAATAAAAAAAAACTAGATAAAAAATTATTTTACATTCATGAAACATACTTAATAAAATATATAAAGTAAGTTACAAATACGGAAGATGCAAACTACATAATTATTTGTTGAATTTTTTTCATATATGCTCAATCAAATCGTCTTTTAGAGCGTTATGAGCATATTTATTGCGAACTTGTGCACTGTTGGTCATATAACTTGATAGATTTGCAATTGGTTGAGTAGAGTATTCAAATGATTGTTAGTCTTTTGTTGTTATAAATTCGGATGGATCATAATAATGAAGGTATGTGTGTCGTTCATCCTCAACTATCATATTATGAATGATGATACTGTTGGAAAATGTGTCTAAGCTCATAACTATAATTGGTATGTAATTGACCCGATAATAGCATTGTCCATTTGGGTTGCATTCATCAAAGCAATATGTTAGGAGGGATATTTGAGTAAGAGGTTAATTATGATTTAATAATATATTATAAATATAATATATTAATTGATATTGATCAAGAATTAATTTAGTGATTAATTTAGTGATCAAAAGAGACTAATTAAATTGATACATATGAGTTGGGCTAATGATCCATGATTGATTTGTGATGGGCTTATGGGTTAATCAATGAAGTAGTTATCCAAATCAAATGGGTGGGTCATAAGCTTATGGGTATGGAGTAGGGTTACACATGACCCTTGATATTCTATATATATATATATATATATATATATATATATATATCTAAGTCCAAAATCGGGTACCACTTGTATTTTTGAAGAGTAAGAACCGATTTTAGAGTCTCCATAACCTCTACATATTCATCTAATTGTTCTTGGTGTTTTGTGATTCCATTTGAGGCATCACACTTGGGGGTGCTAAGCTTTCTTGAGGCCAAGTCATTCAAGCTACTACACAAGGTAATATTCTAACTAGCTTTTATGATTCAAACATCCCCTTGCATGCTAGTTTAGGCTTCATGCTTTGGAAAATGTTTATTGCATGTATAATTAGAGAAAACTTATATCCAAAGCATTAGGGTTGTATGTGCACCATAGGAATGTTAGAGTACATAAAACCCAACAGTGGTATCAGAGTCATGGGTGTTTTCTATTATATTGATGCAATTGTGTGATTTTCAAAAGCTGAAAAATGACAGTTCTGGATTCTGCCAGGGCCTACTCGACGAGTCCATGTATGAACTCGACGAGTAGGTGCCTTATGATGATGAACTCGTCGAGTTCATAAGTACACTCGACGAGTTGGACAGTCAATGGGCAGAATCTTTGAGTTTTTGGCCTGTTTTGGATTAGGAACATCACCACAAACTGTATTGGTTCATAAAATTCGATTTTAATGATATGATAATGTCTATCCCCATCCAATAACATGATGTTTATCAAATTCTTAGATAACTACTTGTTTTTGTGATATACTAGTTATTTGTAAAATTTGAAGTTATCATGCACTATGAATCAAATTAGGTCAAATTAGTAAATGATCATCATACCATAATTGGATTAGTTAATTTGATTTATGTGTGTTCTTGAAAAAGTTCCATAACTTGTCATCAAACTATGGAATATGAAAAGTCTTTATTTATGAAACCATTAACTAATGTAAGTTATAAAATTCTAAGAGTCTTGGAAGGTTTCATAACTTGTACACAAGTTTATAATTGGAAAGGTCTCATTCATGGAACATAAAAGTTCATAAGCTATGAATTTCAAGAGTTTTGACAAGTTACAAAACATGCCCTCAAGTTTTGGAACTTGAAAAGTTACATTAATGAAACTTTAATTCCAAACTCTAGAGTTTTAAAGATTTAAAATTCAACCCTTATATTATTATAATATTAAAGTTTAATACTTATATATATATATATATATATATATATATATTATATATGTATAAGACAAGTCAGTTTTACCTTTAGTAGGCCTCATTCACGAAGTTGATCTATAAGGGGGGTATAAGGTTATTGCCTATAAAATGGTGGTTTAATGTGTAACATCCCAAGTTTTGTCATTTGTAGTCCCTGGGGATGGAAGGGTAAAGCCATGAAGAGCCTAAGGGCTAAGTTGTAATTTTGGGACCAGGAGGAGTACGCTGCGCATACATAAGGGTACGTTGAGCGTACTAGGGCGCGCCCTGGTACGCTGGGCATACTCATAACAGAAGGAAACCCTAATATCTCGGGTTGGGGGCTATATAAACATCCTTATGGCTCATTTTATCTCCTCCTTCTCGGCCTCCATCTTCCAGAAACGTCCCCAAACCCTAGTTCTTGTGTGTGAGAGTGAGTTGGTGGGTATTTTGAGCTCTTGAAGGTGAAGCCATTGCAACAAATAGTTGAAGAATGAGATTGGCTTGTAGATCTGAAGGTGTGTTGTGCCCTAGAAGCTCCAGAAGGTAAAAAGCTTCAAACTTTATGCTTGTAGGTCATAGATCTAGCCTTTCTAGCATTATGGAACCATTTCTTGTCCTAAAAAACCCAATATGGCGCATGATGCATTTTGGACGAGATAAGTTGTCCTTTCTAGACCTTGAAGAGGTCTTAAGTGATAAAAATGAGGTCCCAATAGCTTAAGATGTCCCATGCATGTAGTAGAAGGGTCTTAATGGATTAAGACCTTGGATTAAGAGCTTTCTGGACGTCCAAAGTGATAAAGTTCGAGATTTTATGAGTCCTAGGCACATTTGGTCATTGAATATGGAGTTTAGGCTTAAGTACTTAAGCCATTAAGCACTTATTAGGGTTTTGGTGAAACCATGCGTACGCCCAGCGTACTAAGTCAATGACCCCGTTTTCCAGTCAATGCGAGACTCGTGTACGCCCCACGTAGCATTGGGGTACGCCCAACGTACGCCTTCTGTGGACTTTTGGTTATTTGGGCTTTGGGTTTGGGCTACTTTTTGGACTAGTAGGGTTTGGGCCTTGCTAGACTTTCTGAGTAGATATGTTTTGGACCAGTTTTGGTGATAGTGAATCATGGGGTTAAGCCCAATAAGGAAGTTGGGCCCAATTTAGTAAATTGGGCCAATAATGGGCCTTGCATAAAGACTTTCAAGGTTATGGACTTGGAGTTGGGCCTTGGCCCAATAAAAGAGAATGGACATGATGGATTGAGTGGACCCTTAGCCAAGACTGTTATGTTGTGTTTTGACACGACATTATTATGTGATAGTTCGGGTTTTCCGGTGAGACAGCGATCAGAGGTTTTCGGTGCAGCAACACTACTTGCGAGGTGAGTTATCCTCACTATATCAACAGGGTCTAAGGCACCAAAATCGGCCCTTTATCGAATTTGTATCCGGGTATTTGCTTGATATGTTTATTGATCTGTTAGATCTGCATCCTGGTAGTTAGGATGGTATTATGCTAGTGACCTGGTTTAGGTCGGTATCCTGGTACATAGGATGATGTTATGTTAATGATCGGTTAGGTCGGTATCCTGGTTATAGGATGGTTGTTGTGTTAGTGATCTGCTAGATCGGTATGATTATCTGTTATATACATGCTAGCGTATGATATTTATGTGCACATGATTGTTTGATTGGTATGGGGGTTGGGTTGAGGCGAGTCCTGCTTTGTGTTGTAGGCCAACATAACCAGGGCGGACCGGATAGACTGCAGGCCCAGGAGGGCACATAGTCAGGTCGAAGGCCCGGCGAGTGGTCCGGATAGGCTGAAGGCCCCGAGAGGGCGGTCCAGATGTGCCGAGGCTCGGAGAGTGGACCAGATAGACTGAAGGCCCAATACGGGCGGTCCAGTTAGACTGTAGATTCGGAGAGTGGACCAGGTGGACTGAGGCCCAGTGCGGGCGGACCAGTCACACTGTAGACTCGAGATGCATGGTTGTTCTTTGTTTGTTATATGATATGTTATGGTTGTATGAGGTTGGTATTTTTGGGGTAACTCACTAAGCTTTCGGGCTTACAGTTTTAGTTTATTGTTTCAGTTTCAGCAGATGACCGCGGGAAGGCGAAGGCGTGACCGTACACTTCCTCGATTTATGATTATGATTTCTGGGAACTCTGATGTTTAAACTATTTTGAAAACAGATTGTAATAACTGAATGGTTTTATATGATTTAAAAAGTTTTAAATTGGCTCAAATTTTATGGATGTTATAAGTTGGTATCAGAGCCTTGGTTTGAGTGAATTGGAGGAACACTCGTGTGAATCCAGTCTCAAACTAAGGAAAATATTTTTCAAAATGATTTTAAATGGTTTTCAAAATAAGAAAGGAGGATGCGAAGTGTACGATCAGCCGGAGCCAGTAAGTAGACCCCAAAATACCATACAATTATCTGATTATGTGATATGATAGAACAACATGCTAGTACTAGGCTAGGGATCTTCAGGAATTGCATGATAGAATTGCCTGATTACATGATGCTTTCTAGCCTAGGGTTTTCCTTTTATGAGATTGACATCGTTACTGTAGTTACTTGTGTATGCATCCAGGCTGTACATAATTAAGATCCTATAGCCTGAGAATGTTTGGTTTAGCTTTATTTCCTGTTCCTCGTATGGTTGTGGGCTTAGAGTAGGACCGAGTATTCGAATGTCTATAGGGTCCAGCGTTATGTATGGCTAGCATACACTAGTGCTGCAGGGTTTTTGGAAGTTTCATGGATGGGTGGGTAGTAAGAGGTCGGGAGGCCAGTTATGAGATAGTTAGAATTCCTCTAGGAGTGGGGTTGAGCACTCGCGCTGT